CTGATGGGCAAGCAAAGCGCACTATTCAGACCTTAGGGGATATGTTGAGGGCTTGTGTAATCGATTTCAAAGGTAGTTGGGATGATCACCTACCTCTAATTTAATTTGCCTACAACAACAGTTATCACTCTAGCATCCAGATGGCTCCATATGAAACTCTTTATGGGAGAAGATGTAGATCTCCTATTGGATGGTTTGAGGTTGGTGAAGCACAGTTGATAGGACCAGATTTAGTTCACCAAGCTATGGAGAAAGTGAAAGTGATTCAAGAGAGGTTGAAAACGGCACAGAGTCGTCAGAAATCCTACATTGATGTTAGGAGAAGGGCATTAGAGTTTGAAGTAGATGATTGGGTATATTTGAAGGTTTCACCCATGAAAGGCGTTATGAGGTTTGGTAAGAAGGGGAAACTCAGTCCCCGGTATATTAGACCTTACCGCATAGCCAAGAGGATTGGCAATGTTGCTTATGAGTTGGAGTTACCACAGGAACTAGCAGCGGTTCATTCGGTATTTCACATCTCCATGTTGAAGAAGTGCATAGGCGATCCTTCATTGATCCTACCGACTGAAAGTATAAAGATCAATGATAACTTATCTTTTGAGGAGATTCCTGTTCAAATTTTAGATCGGCAAGTTCGTAGGTTGAGAACAAAGGAGGTAGCCTCAGTCAAGGTCCTCTGGAGGAACCAATTTGTTGAGGAAGCTACTTGGGAAGCCGAAGAAGACATGAAGCAGAGGTATCCATATCTCTTTGAACCCGCATATCAAGGTATTAATTTCCTTCTTAGTGCTCTTTAAATTATAATGAGCATGTTGTTGTCGTTGTTGTGTTTGCATAGTTGCTTGTTGGGAGGTTGAGTTGTTGTTGCACCCTTAGCCTTATAAGAATAACTGCATTCGAGAATGAATGTTCCCAAGGGGGAGATATTGTAACATCCGACAATTTGAAGTGGCTTTAAAGGAGCTTGAAATTTGGAAATAGTCATTTTTTTTGGATTGAGAAAAGATTGGAATTTGTCGTTGAAGTGTTGGGAGTTGTTAAGTGTTGTTGATGTTGGTGGTGGTGTTGTCGAAGTTATTGTTTGACATGATTGGGTTGTGTATTCAAGTTGAAATCTATTGTATGCTGAGGGAATTATGATTCTAAGAGTTATGACCCTTTTTGAAGTTGATTCACCATCAATTCTCAGCAAGTTTTGGCTGTCGACCCCGATTTACGGACGTGACCTACGGACCGTAGATCGATTGACGGTCCGTACTGGTCAACCGTCAATCAGGACAGAAGTTGGGTTCTTGGGGCATCGATCTACGGGTACTATCTACGGTCCGTAACCTGACCTACGGACCGTAAGTCCGGACCGTAGGTCAACACTTAGTCATTTTATTTAAATGAATTCTGGGGAAGTTTCTGGCGTGATCTACGGACCTGCAGGACGGACCGTAAGTCCATCTACGGTCCGTCGATGACGTTCGTAGATGCTATCTGTGTCACCAGAAATCCGATGTCTCGGCCAATTTTCCCCATTTCTTTTCTCACTTTCTCATGCATGTTTCAAAGTATTATACCTATGTTTTACAGTTGTTTCCGACACTCCAAGGTACGCCTAAGCGTTCAAGAATCCCTCCATAACATGTGATCGAACACCTTGAATTCATAATTCGATTCAAGGAATGATAGTTCCAAGTCAAGTGAAGTTAGAAGTCAAGAAAAAGAGTATAGAGTTTCAAGTCGAGTAAGAGTCTCAGTTTCAAGTTAAGTCATGAGTTTAAAGTTGAGTTCATTTCTCAAAGTTATTAGGGAACTATGTATTCCCAAAGAAGTTTTAAAGAAATACCTTTACATTTGAATAAGGTTGGAAACTGAGATTTCCAAAGGGGCCTTCGGGCTAGTTTTGAGTAAGTATCTCATATCAGCAGAAATAAATATGTTTTAAAAACATAAGAGCCAGTACATTTTTGGGAGTAGTATCGAGCACCGAATTGGGGGAGCGTTCAAAGAACCCACAACCCCCATAGAACCATGTTAGCCACCATGGGAAGAAAAGGATCATACTTTTTAGATGAATCCTTTTCATATTAGACTAGTAGATCCATTAGGCAGTTCAGGTCTTATACTTTTGGCCGGGTATAAGATGCTCTGGCAGCGTGAGGTCGATCGCTGTATCATCACTATAGCTCTTATGTGATGGTTGTCGGTTAGAGAAGCTCCCACAGCAGTTACTATATTTTCATATGCAGAGATTATTGTATTTTATATACATCAGTTCATTGTATTTCTATATACATTTTAGGCTTATTATATTGTATCCTTGTATACATGCAGAGTTTATAGCATGTTTTAAACAGTCTTTCTTTATATCGCACTTGTTTTAAATTGCCTTATATTGAAAGAAGTCAGTCAGGTTGAGTTGGGTTGAGCCAGGTAAGCTATTCAGTTTCTTCCAGATTTCCTTCTAGCCTTTGTTGCTTAGTTTTCCATCTTGCATACTCGTACATTCCATGTATTGATGCCAGTTGGCCTGCATCGTTTGATGATGCAGATTCAGGTACCCCAGATCAGCATCCTGCACGTCGTTGATCCAGCTGAGCACTCCAGAGTCAGTGGTGAGCCTCCTTGCATTCCGGAGGACTCAATTATTTGTGTTCTTAGTTTTTGTTTTATTAGGATGTTGCGGGGTCTGTCCCAACATCCATCTCAGTATTTTATAGGCTTCATAGACAAACAGTCAATCAGTTAGTTTTGAGTCTCTTATCTATTTATATATATATATGTAAATATTCTATTTTGAGATTCGAGTTGCCTTTATGGCCATATTTTATAAGTTAAGTTGTTTTGTAATATTGCATTGTAGTGAGTTATTCTGTTGAGTTAGGTTTCCCCTGAGTTAAGAAAGCCAGGCCAAAGGTTCGCTTGGGGCCAGAAATGGTCTTCGGGTGCCGGTCCCGCCTAGGGTGTAGGCTCGGGGTGTGACAATAGTTAATTAATTGACTTTCCCTCATCCACAACATTACTCCCCTCATGTTGAAAGAGCTTGTCCTCAAGCTCAAATTTCAGGGTAATCATCCAAAAAATCTCGAATAGTATCAACTTAATTATCCATTCCAGCCCTAGCTTGATCGATGTTGACATTGATAAATTTCAACACCACCAATTTTCCAGAGAATGACTAATTCACCCATCAGGTTGCTACTTTCAAGAGGTCCAAGTCGTTGAAATTATTCCCAACTCATTGAACCTTTTGCCCGTTTAAGTTGATAATATCATAATGGTGCTTCTCCGAACATATGAAATCCAGTCACCTCCAAATTTATTTGCTTCCATTGTATGCTGATTTTCACAAACTTGTTCACAATGATGTGCCCAAATTATTGGGTTGTTAGTGTTAGGGTTTTCCTCTGATTTTCTTACCTTATTTGAGTTTTATTTTTCTTTTTAAGAAAAATTAAAATATTACCATAAATGCTTTAACTTTTCCTGAAAGTAAACTATAATTTTCTTCCATATTTGGGTTATTCCTTCCTTGGAGGAAAAGTGTGGAACTCTATAAATTGAAGACTCCTCTTCTCATATCAACAACACAACAAAATCCACAATGTAGTCATTTAAGAGTTTTGTTTATGGAGAGATTTCTCCCAACATGTTTATGTTTATTCATATTAGTTTTATCATATGTATGTCGCTTGACAAAACTATATTAATAAAATGTTTTTAGTATACTTTTCTTTGGCATTTGCTTTATCGCATCTATGATTTGCAATTGTAAGCTTCTGCATAACGTCTTAATTACTTTTGAACCCAACACTTGGTGATGTTTTAAGTATTTATATTTGCATACCTTGGTACTATTGAATGTGAATTATCACTTGTTGGATGATTCTCACCGGCCAGTGGAATAGGTGGTGTATTGTTTTTAGTAGCAGGAGTTGTTGATCTACTAGTTATCTGACGCTATTTGACTCAGGTTTGTGGGTTGTTGGCTTTTTGGAGCCAATTTCCAATCTAGACAGTTCATGTTCTCAGATTACTTGGACAATTCTTTAGTGAGCCATTGTTCCATTGCTACAATTTCAGAGTCCATTAGGGTTTCTGTAATGGAACGTTCTTTTTGAAATGAAACTGATCTCATCGCCCTTTGTGTTAGGCTATGATATCAAATTGTTATGGATCTTTAGGGAATGATCAATTCATAGAGCGATAAATAAGTTCAGCTCGTTAAAGGGAGACTAAAAACCTTAGAGTTCAATGGAAGAGAGAACTCTCATCTCTTGTTTTTTGCTAAAATATGACTTAATTGATTTATTCCTCAAGAACCCTTTAAATAGAAGTCTTATTACATCAATAGGAAGTCTAATTATTATGAAAGTAGGAACCTAAATCCTATTCCAAACTAATAACTATAGTTAGTCTAATCATTTTAAATCTATGAAACATAAATCCTATTCTAGAATAATAAACAAAGCTACTAAAATATAATTAACTAATAAATAAATCTACTTAAAAATATAACTATAGGTTAACCTAATCATTATTGTCTTGTAACCTATAACTGCAGGACTTCGTGAAGTCTTTTAGGCAAATCCATTTGGGATATGTCATGATTTTTACCTTCTCAAACTAAGTGCTTTTCATAATAAAATTTATCGTGTTTGACATTTGAAAAACTCAATTCTTAAATACATTAGGTAATTGTTAAATAACATGTATTAAAACAAAGAGGTGGTGAACTCATAAAAGCAATCTGTGGAGATACAAAATTGATCAATTAGTAGAAGACTTTATCACTCAAATGGCTCTTTGATCAATTCAAATTCTTTTCAATTAAAGAAATGTTAATTTTGTTGGACAAATTCTTTGTACTTGATGTACTGTCATTTTAATTAATTAATCAAATATCCAACGTAATCTTTGAACAAATCAAATGGAATTAAGTTGACAACTTGAGTTTCCAACATTATAAATACCACCATTTCAATTGCTTGTTTTGTTAAAATCAACAGAAAATAAAAGCTATGGCAAAGTACACTACTTTTCTCGCCCTCCTCCTTTGCCTCTTCCTTGTTGCTGCAACTGGTGAGTCGACATGATTCTATAGCTATCAAATATAATTATTTGTTTAAGATTACAAACTTTTAAAATATTTATTTTTTATTAAACTTTGTGACTAGTCAAACATGTCAAATAAAATGAAACAGAGGCATTGTTATTATTAGGAAATTATTTGAAATTTTCTATGTCAAGTACATACCATGAGTTTTTAATTTTCTTATTTTTGCAGAAATACAAATGGCAGAAGGCAAATACTGTTGGAAAAAAAGTGACAAGTGGAATGGACCTTGCCAATACTCTTACAAATGTAGTCATCATTGCAAGTACTACTATGGAGCTAAATATGGTATTTGTAAGAAGTACAAACCATGGGGTCACAAATATTACTGGGCAAAATATGCTTGCTACTGCTACTCACCTTGCCACTATTAAGAATCTTTTAGTGTCTCGTGGCTTGGTTTTGATTATGTAAACAAATAATTAAGAAGCTACCTATTTTATGTGTGTACAATGTAATAAGGCTGATTTATGTGTGCAACTATTTTGGCCAAGCTTTGCGTGATGAGTTATTGTATTGTATGCCTTTCTATTAATATTAATTGATGTGAATTATGCTATTTTTCTATGTAAATATTTAAATATTGTGTCACATACCATGCATGGTTAAGATAAAATTAATAATAACATGACTCGACATACATGTGTATTTATCATGCCCCAAGCCTAGACTCTATGCGAGATCAATACTCAATGCCATTGTTGGTCCGAGCATGCCTACAATATAGCATTAGACATGGCATACATCTAAACATGAGCGAAAACATAGATTAAAAGCATTTGAAGGGAAGTCTTTTAAAATTAAAGTAACACTTTTCATTAATGTAAATGATAGTACTGAAATCACTAATACAACTTTTCATTAATGAAAGGACACGAAGGTTAAACTGAAGCATAACTAATTGTTTAACTGAGTAATGACTTAATGAATATCATTGCCTCTTCATTGAACTCGTCAATTTAAATAGACGTATGCCACCGTTGAATTCGATCTCGATACTCGATCCGAAATTCAACCTCTAATCCTAACTAAAGATCCGACCCCGACTCAATTTGAAACTCGGGAGTTGGGTCTCGTAGAGGTTGAGAGTTGGGTCTCAAATTGAGAATCAGGAGTTGGATTTAGGATTAGTATTGAGAATCGATATCTGAGGCTTAAGTTACGATGAAAAGTTGAGGTGTGAGGTTCAAAATGATTTTGCCTTAGAGGTTGAGAGAGAAGAGAATGGGGATTAAGCCATGAAAACCTGATTGTTTTGGGTCTTTTATTAGTCAAGAAATTAGTTTAGAATTTTCTTAGGGATAAAAAGATAAAAACGACCCTTTTTAGTAAAAAAAAATTTGTCGGCTAAATCGTCACTGCATAATAAAATGTTCATAACTATTTACTGTGAACTTAGATTGATGCAAAATTGGTGGCGTTGGAAATATGACTCAAATACCCTTTTGTTTGATAGGTAATCTTCATATTCTAAGATATATGGTCGTTTGAAGTTGTCCTAAGTAGAATATGATATCAAAACTTAATCGGTAAGGAAGCTTTTAACTCAACTTTGTTTTAGGGGATTCTTGTGACTTAATTAGGTGTAAAAACATCAAGGTTTAAATTTTTGAAGGGTGGGAAAAGACTAAAATAACCTCTCTTAAAACTGGCAGAAGTCGTCTATGAAAGGCCATTTACGGTTCGTACAAAAGTCTATGGGCCGTAGACCCTCTCGTCGGAACATGCTGAGTTTTCTGAATTTTTGAAGTTGGGGATTAATGACCCTTTATACGGGTCATAGAGACTTTGACGGACCGTCATTCTCGCTCGTAGGAAGCTTACTGGAGTGTGCTCCAAGACTTGGTTTCCACAGGGCCTTCTACGGACCATAAAAACTTCTACGACACGTAGTCCGGTCCGTGAAACTTAGACCTGATAACCAACTTTCAAGGGCATGATTCCATCAACCCATCTACAGTCAGTAGATACTTCTACAAGTCGTAGAAAATCTTCTATGGCACCAGACTGCAGAAATTTTCAAGGTCAAAATTTGGGTTTGAATTTTTGGGGTGTTACAATGATAGTGAGCTAGGGTCATGTCTTTGGTCGAGGTCAAGATATAGGGGAAGTAGTGGTAAGTAGGTTACGATTGGCCTAAGTTGAGAGTAGGGTCTTGGAACATAGGATCGCTAACGGGGAAGTCCATATATAGAGCTAGTGAAGATTCTCAAGAAGAGAAACATAACTTGATCTAGCTTGTGTCCAAGATACCAAATGGGTAGGTGCCGACACAGAATGTGGATGAGTTTAAGTTGTGGTATTTAGGAGGCTTGAGGGATATAAATGGAATGGGTATTTTAGTAGAGAAGGGCCTTATTTTTGGAGGATCAGTGATAGGATAGGATGATGACGATTAAGCTAGTCATAGGAGGGCTTACTTTGAACATTATTAGTGCTTATGCGCCTTAAGTGAGCTTGGACAAGGAAGCCAAAACACTAATTTGGGAGGATTTCGATGAGGTGGTGAGAGGTATACAAAAACATAGAGAAAATCTGCATTGGTGGAGATTGGGATGGCCTTATCAGGGCAACTTCTAGTGGCTTTGATCATGCTCATAAGGTTTTTGTTTTGGGGAGAGAAATGGAGGTGGAGCTTCGCTTTTGGTTTTTGCTAAAGCTTTTGATTTGGTAATTTCTAATTCGTGCTATCAAAAAAAAAAGTGAATTACTTTGTTTCCCTTTCACAGCATGATAGCAAAGAGTCAAAAAGATTACTTAGTCCTTAGAAAGGGTGATAGAGGTCTTTGTAAGGACTGCAAGGTTACTCCGAGTGAGAAGCTTACCTCCCAAGTTTTCAGTGATGGAATTGTAATATATCAGGTAATTGTTAAAATAACATGTATTAACACAAAGGGGTGGTGACCTCATAAAAGCAATTTGTGGAGATACAAAATTGATCAATTAGTAGAAGACTTTATCACTCAAATGGCTCTTTTATCAATTCAAATTCTTTTCAATTAAAGAAATGTTAATTGTGTTGGACAAATTCTTTGTACTTTATGTCCTGTCATTTTAATTATCCATGTAGAAAATTTTGAGTTAAATAACATGTATTAACACTAAGGAATGTTAACCTCATAAAAGCAATTTAATTTGTAGAGATACAGAATTGATCAATTAGTAGAAGACTTTATCATTCAAATAGCTCTTTGATTAATTCAAATTCTTTTCAATTAAATAAATGCTACTTGTGCTTGACTAATTCTTTGTACTTTCAATTATCCATCTTATAAACTATTTAAGCAAACATCCAACGTAATCCTTGAACAAATCAAATGGAATTGAGTTGACAACTTGAGTTTCCAACACTATAAATACCACCATTTCAATTATTTGTTTCGTCACCAAGAAATCAACAAAAAATAAGAGCTATGGCGAAGTACACTACTTTTCTCGCCCTCCTCTTTTGCCTCTTCCTTGTTGCTGCAACTGGTGAGTCGACATGATTCTATAGCTACCAAATATAATGATTTGTTTAAGATTACGAATTTTTAAAATGTTTGTTTTTTATTAAACTTTGTACATAACATGAGTTATATTTTCTCATTATTGCAGAAATACAAATGGCAGAAGGCAAATATTGTTGGAAAAAAAGTGACAAGTGGAATGGACCTTGTCAATACTCTTACAAATGTAGTTATCACTGCAAACACTACTATGGAGCTAAATATGGTATTTGTAAGAAGTACAAACCATGGGACCACAAATATTACTGGGCAAAATATGCATGTTACTGTTACTCACCTTGCCACTACTAAGAAACTTTCTGTTTCTCATGGCTTGGCTTTCATTATGTAAAAAAATATGAAGCTAGCTACTACTTTATGTGTGTAACAATATATGTAATAAGGCTGATTTATGTGTAATTATTTTGGCCAAGCTTTGCGTGATGAGTAAGTGTATTGTATACCTTTCTATTAATATTAATTGCCAGCGAGGTACTTTTTTACTGATTTCTTTTATTTCAATTGATTTTTTTCTGATTTTGTCTAGTATCTAAATAATTCCAACGTGTTACATATCTGGCTGTACAATTTGAAATTCGATTTGAATCAAAGATGGAAGATTTTGAGGGTTATCAAATGATACATAGTGCGATATAGTTAAAACAAATTATTGTTGATGTGAATTATGCTGTTTTTCTATATAAATATTTATATATTGTGCCACATACCATGCACGGCTAAGCCTAGAATCTATGCGAGATTGATACTCGGTGTCATTGCAGGCATGAGCACATCCATTAGATAGAATTAGACATGGCATACATCTAGACATGAGTGAAAATATAGTTTGAAAGCATTTGAAGGAAAGTCTTGTAATAGAAATAATTTTCATTAATGTAAGTCATAGAACTTAAATCACTAACAAATTAAGGACAGAAGGTCAAACTGAAGCATAACTAGTTGTCTATTTATGAAGCCTCTAAATATAATTGAGTAATGACTTAATGGTTATCATTGGCTCTTCATTGAACTCATCAACTTTAATGAAGGTATGCATGCCATCATGGATGCTATGATTCCTTTTTCCTTGAATTCGAATTTCGCAAAATCAAGAAGACATGCATTAGTAAAATTGTTTTCGTCCACTAGCGATCGAACTTCACAATTCTTTCTTGTAAGTACTAGCCCCAGATATTGTTGACCTCATAAATGCAATTTGTGGAGATACAGAATTGATCGATTGGTTCTTTGATCAATTCAAATTCTTTTCAATTTGGTATGAACGAAAACATTTTTTGAAAAATGTTTTTCCAAATTCTCCTGATTGATCGGCTTAAAATTTTTGGAAAATGTTTTTCAAATCAACTCATTTTCCTCAAATTTAAGGAAAATGATTTTCCTTCAAGAATTAAAGAAAACGTTTTTCAAAACTTTACTTCATCCTTAAGTTACAATATTTTTTTCTTACCCTACCTCGTACCCATTACTCAACCCTCCCCATCCAAGAAAAAAATTACATTTTAAATTTTTTTATTTTTTAAATTTCAAATATTTTTTTAACCTTACCCCTAACCGCCCCCACTCCCCCCACTATCCACCTTCCCACTACCCTCAACCCAGGGCCACCCCCTGAATTTTTTATTTTTTTTAAAAAAAGTGTTTATGAAAATTATTTCAAATTTTAAAAGTTTCATTTTTTACGCCACGCTCCTACCTCCACCCTCCATGCCACACCATCCCCGCACAACACCCATAAAAAAAATTAAAATAAAATTGTTTTTGTATTCAAATTTTAAATTTTTCATTTTTTCGCTATCCCCACCCCTTTAACCCCCTGTCAAATTTTTAAAAAAAAATTATTATTCTTGAAGAATATTTTAAATTTTAAAATTTTCTTTTTTTACGGCACCCCAACTCCTTACCCCACCAAGTGCCATCCCCATCAAAAAAAAAAATTAAAAAATAGTTTTTGAAAAATATTTCAAAGTTTAAAATTTTCATTTTTTATGCCACACTCTCCCCATCCCCCCCCCCCCCCCCGCCCCCCCGCAGCCCCATTAGTTATTTTTTTTTAAGAAAAAATCTTTTTGAGAAATATTTCAGGATCGGAAGTCTGGGTCAAATCCTATGTCAGATCTCAGGGTCAGATTTTGGAACGGTCATCGGGATCGTGTCCTAGGTTGGGTGTCAGATTCGGGTCCTACCTAGGTCGATTATCGAGGTTGATTTTCGGGTCAGAAATTATTTTCCTAAAGAGTATTTTCTAGTCTCAAGCCTAAAATAAAAGATATTTTCTGGAAAATATTTTTCATTTACCAACCAAATATTAAAAAAAAAAATCCAGAAAAAATTTTCCGCTCACCAACCAAACATGAGAAAATAAGTTAGAAATCCACTTCTTTACCAAGAAAACATTTTCCTTCGTACCAAACACACCCTTAAGAAATGCGAATTGTACTGGACTAATCATAATTCTTTGTACTTGATGTATCATTTTAATTATCTATCTTCTAATTAATTAAGCAAACATCCAATGAAATCCTTTTATTATTTTGACTTTCCAGAATAATAGGGGTGTAATCTTGAAATGGGTACCTCTAACGGGGTTGATTGTAACTTGTAAGGATAAAAAGTAGTAAGTTTATCGAGTCCCTTTATTATTTGTTTTTGAGGTAAATCCATCTAGGATATGTCATAATTTTTACTTTCTCAAATAATGTGTTTTTTATAATAAAATTTATCGTGTTCTTATATTGTACAATTTACTTCTTGTTCAAAATTTGGAAAACACTAGGTAATTATTAAAATAACATGTATTAGCACAAAGGGGTAGTGAGTAGTGACCTCATAAAAGGAATTTGTGGAGATATTGAATTGATCAATTAGTAGATGACTTTATTACTTAAATGGCTCTTTGATCAATTCAAATTATTCTTTACAATTAAACAAATACTAATTGTGCTGGACTAATTCTTTTGTACTTGATGTGTCCTTTTAATTATCCATCTTATAATTAATTAAGCAAACATCCATAATACTTGAAGAAATCAAATGGAATTAAGTTGACAATATGAGTTTCAATTGTTTGTTTCGTCACCAAGAAATCAACAAAAAATAAGAGCTATGGCAAAGTACACTACTTTTCTCGCCCTCCTCTTTTGCCTCTTCCTTGTTGCTGCAACTGGTGAGTCGACATGATTCTATAGCTACCAAATATAATGATTTGTTTAAGATTACAAATTTTTAAAATATTTATTTTTTTTATTAAACTTTGTGACTAGTCAAACATCTCCAGTAAAATAAAACGGGGGCATTTAATAGGAAATTCTGAAAAAATTGCTATCTCAAGTACATACCATGAGTTTTCAATTTTCTCATTTTTGCAGAAATACAAATGGCAGAAGGAAAATACTGTTGGAAAAAGAGTGACAAGTGGAATGGACCTTGTCAATACTCTTACAAATGTAGTTATCATTGCAAACACTACTATGGAGCTAAATACGGTATTTGTAAGAAGTACAAACCATGGGATCACAAATATTACTGGGCAAAATATGCTTGCTATTGTTACTCACCTTGCCATTACTAAGAAACTTTCAACATCTCATCTATGTAAACAAATAATTATGATGCTGCCTATTTTATGTATGTGACAATGTAATAAGGCTGATTTATGTGTGTAACCATTCTGGCCAAGTTTTGCGTGATGAGAAATTGTATTGTATGCTTTTGTATGAGTATTAATTGATGTGAACTGTGATATTTTTCTATATAAATATTTGTTGTGTAAAGTACCATGCAGCGCTAAGAAAAAATTAATAACAACATGACTCGACACTCATATTGTGTAACACACATTATGTGCAGAGAAATTTGTAGACAAAACATTAGGATGATAGCAACAACAATAACATAAATAATTGGGGTTTGGGAAGGATAGAGTGTACGTTATAAACCTTACCACTACCTCATACCTCATGGAGGTAGAGATGTTGTTTCTGAAAGACCCTTTGCTCAAATGAAGCAAATTGTGAACTACAAAGAAGAAGAAAACAATGCAGAAATCATAGCTATTATACAGTGCAAAGCCTAGAAGAATGGAACAAGAGAAATAAAATAGTGTGATAATCGAAACATTGTGATCAACAGATGGTGATAGATACCCAAAGCAAGAATTATACTAACTTGGCTAGTACAACGACAAACACCAAAAATCCTAATCCCTCGAAGATAAAGATAGCAACTCCAAACCTACCAACATTATTTTACCCTAATACGCAACCTCTGCACCGTCCTATATCTAATATCATGTCTCTGGAGTTGCGTCATGTCATGTCTAATCACTTCTCTCGAATAATTTTTTTTCCTACCTCTACCTCTCATCATAGCCACTATATCGAGCCTCTCGCACCTTCTCACTAGGGAATCTGGATATCTCCTCTTCACATGCCCAAATTATCCTAGTCTTGCTTCCCTCATCTTCTCCACTACAGAGGCCACTCCCACCTTGTACATATATTTGCATTCCTAATCTTATCACTTCTAGTGTGCCCACATATCCATATCAACATCCTCATTATATTTCCACAACTTGCATCTTCCGCACATGGAAGTTTTTGACTGGCCAACACTCAACCTCGTACAACAATATGGTCTAACCATTACTTTATAGAATTTACACCACACAAAAATGTGAGTGACATCATTGACAATGTCCCACTTCCTTATATTACCGATCCAAGATACTTGAATTTGGTCTAGGCTTTATAAATACCCCTCAATTCATAAATTTCATTCTATTTCATTTTTAGCAGACTATTTAGAGTGAAAACATCTTAAATCTTCTCTCGAGCACCTAAGGTGGATTCCTACTCCAATCTTTTGACTATAACATTGATTATATTGTAAGCAAGAATCTGAAATATTCCTATTTTTGAAAACCTTCTTTGAAGTATGCCTAGTTTTCATAATTCAATTTGAAGTATGACTATTTATCCAATTAAGTATTCTTTTGAAGTGTGAAATTTTGGAGAAAACTTTCAATTTACCAAGGATTTTAACAAGACTTTATGTGAGTGAAAGACAAGGTTGCATTAAGTCTTAGTATATTGATTTCATTATATATTATGCACTACGTATGTGCACATGATTTTCCTTACAAGTAGGATTATTTAAACTTGATTTTAAAGTGAAAATTTTGAGCATAATTTTGCTCTATGACCAAACTATTAGCATGAGACATGATTTAATACTTTAAACATAATTTGTAAACATGTGAAACGATGGATTCTTTTTTTTTTTTTAAAGAATTAAAAAAATGGGGATAGAGAAAATGGGAAGGGGATTGCAATAT